TGAGGATAGGTTTCCAAGAGAAATCAGTATCAATTTCCTATTAGGTGGACTATGGGCTTATTTATTTATTTGTATTAAAACGGCATGGCAAGAGTACCTACCACTTTTTCCCGCAGGCTCATCCTCTAGGCAAGATTGTAGCACAATAAGTGGTGCGGCACGCGTGATTGTGCACATTGCTGTCAGACTTATGTTCACTACTCGTACTCGGGTAACGCAAAGCTGCTAATTGGCCCATTTGTTTCACCTTACAAAACATACATCAAGACGTGGTATGCAATGTTTATTGCTATACAAACGTGTTGACGAGCTATATATACGAGTTGAGATCTATGTGATTACGCGACCAGTTTGCAGACGATTTATCTAAGTGTATTTTCTACACAACATAATTCTTCAATAAAATAAGCATAGAATAACTTATATATTTTTAAAAGTTTTAGTTATATGTACGGCAAAAATAAATCGAGTCGCAAAAAGAAAGCCTGCAGATAAAAATTCTATATAATTTTTTACATTAAATTAGAAATAAAATAATGCGACATTCCAATTAGTTAAACTACCGATAACTGAAATTAAAAGTAAAGATTGTTCTATAATATTTGAATTTTAGACGTCTAAACGATTGTATTCATATGCTTCGCGTGTATCTATCTATTATGTAAAGGAATCTTTTAATGTTATTTTAACTAACTTGTAGACGGCGGGTTGAGTTGAAAATTTGCACTCGTATCAAGGACCGATGACATTACCAGGATAAAATAAAATAATTATCAGAATCTTTACAGGTCAAGATCAATGCGTGTTGTTTAAGTTTTTTTTTAAACTCTTGTATAATTTTCAATTACATTAAATTTATTTTTTTAACAATTAATTTTGCAACTCAAATTTTCTAAGTTTAAATACATGACACGTGAATGTGTGAACTGTACGATATAAGTAATTATTATCTACAATCTCTATTATATTACTTTACACGTGTTATCGATCGATACATGTATATGTCGGAGTTTCTAATATTTTTGGATAATGAAAATACTTCAATCCATAATATGAGTTTATTTTGAAAATATCTATCAAAATAAGTACCGACTTATTTTTTCAATGCCTCTTGATAAATAGTTCTCTTAAACCATGCACTAGAAAGAGACAAAATATGCTATAGTACTTGTCTAGTTACATCCAGCCTGATATATTATAGGACATTAAAAAAAGACAAAAAAAATTACCATGCAGATAGACAGTTACATGATTGATAGATAAATATTTTGATGTATATGATTACTGAGTTGTAGGTCTCTTGACCTTCAGTAGACGGCGGTATACGATGCTGTATCTAAACCCAGAGCGACGACGGGTCTATCATCGCGAACCAGTCCAATGCTGGCAAAGACCTATATAACCATGATTGCTGGATATGGAGTTCTTCGGTTGTAAGAGTTTTGCCGTAGTTACTACAGTAGGTAGACGGAATGATAATTACAATACCAGAAGTCTCACATGTTTCTATCAGTGTTTTTTTTAAACTGAAGTAACAATGAAAAACACCACAGATGCGTTATCATTTCAGAGAATTAACATGGAATGTCTCACAGCCTGTAATTAATTACTGGCTCTCTATATTCTTCAGATCGGGAAACAGCAGCGCAAGCAATTCAAGTTTAATAGCACCTTTAAGCGGAGTAGACCACAATTTTTTGTAACTCCGAGGATTAAGATGAAAATACCTTACAACCTGTAATTTTTGATAGTATAAGAAAATTTACGTTGTAGAGCCACGCTGCGGCTATGTTATAGTAGTAGCATGAATAAATGGCGTAGTGCTGCTGTGTTTCGCATGGTGAGTGTGGAGTACCGGAGACCCTTTTTACTGGAAACGAGGCATTCCATCTTAGTCCTTACTTGCATTTTGGTTCGTAATCGAGGATAGATGTAAATGTCTATGCCAGCAAGGCAGGGCCACAGCAAACACAAAAATTCTAGGTGGCAAAACACGTTTCCTGCCTGGGATTCCATCGGGGTAAGTACATATTTCTGCTCCTACCTATTTGTGTAAAAATATTAGTGCGCGCACTGCTGTGTTACCTCATATATATACCTCAGTATAGAGAGTTAGGATAAAATCATTCAGGTATTCCATAGTAGTCCTCATAGGTGACATACATCTTTTGCCTGTTCTGTTTGTAGTTGGCTGCAGGTGGACATGTGGGCCGTAAGTTAGATTGTCACTTCCGTTTAAAAAAAATCTAACGAACCGTAACGGTAAACGAAGCTTTATTGATTATTAGGAATTAGGAATTAATGGAAAACTTGTTACTTTCACTTGAACGTGGCGTTTGGAGTATTACTTTGCGATGTACTCGTAATAGCTGCACGGAAGTATGTAGGACGCTGGCGTCGGCGGCACGATAGCTTATCTTACTGGGTTAACAACCGATAGTCGAGTATTGGAAATATCACTGCAATCACGACGCCGTTATCAAGTGACTTGGTCACATCTTTATCACTGAATATCTATGGTAGACTTACTAAACGTGACATTTTTATTTAAAAAAAATTATTTTTAGAATATTTTTATAAACTAAATGAGTAAAAAAAATGGTATGAACTACGATGTCATTTTTATTGTGAGTGATAAACAATCAAGAAATAATATTCCAAATGTAAATTCACCTTTATTGTCATTGTCATAAAAGTCTTTCAAACGTCCGCATCTGAATACAAATCTTCCTCTTAGATTGCCTAATATGTGGCGATATTTGCCAGTTGCCTCATTGGTTTGTTTTATGCCACGTCCCACGGCAAATAGGTTGGTAACATCAGCTTTTTTAATATAGTTAAGTAAAGTAAAGTAAAGTTACAGCATATATACGTCCCACTGCTGGGCACAGGCCTCCCCTCATTTCTGAGAGGGTTTTAGGCGGCGGACACTTTCATTGAAAGTGTCCGCCGCGCTGCCCCAATGCGTGTTGGCGAACTTCATATTTCTTCGAAATATATTTTTTTTCTTATTTCTCAGACATGCAGGTTTCCTCACGATGTTTTCCTTCACCGCCGAGCACGTGGTAAATCAGTACTTAAAACTGCAATTAACAATTTCATTGGTGCCGGCGGGGATCGAACCTGGTTTGCTCGCATACTGTGATATTTACAGCGAGCGCTACTATAACCATCTGAGCTACCACGGCTTTTTAATATGTTGAGTTGTTATCAGGAAGATGCTGCTGCTCATCTCATAGCTGCTCATAGCTTTTCTCTGTTGACTCTTACGACACTAACGGAACGATATGAGTAGAGAATTATTTTATGATGTCACTATACATTGAATATATTATAGTGATAAACTCCATTGCTTTCTCTGTCAATCTGCCTAATTGCTAATAGCATTACAAAATGTCTTGTGTCCAAATCTGTGTAGACTTTTGATTGGATATGATTAATGATGAAATTCAATACTTGTATAATAAACAAAAAATAAACGTATACACAACATGCAACGCATATAACATGCTATAACTATTTCTCACGTTAGAATTAATTATTACCTATCTGGTTAACAATACTTAATTGAGATAGTAAAATTAGGTGTCCGTATAAATAATTAGTTATCTAATTGAACACAATTTACAATTTATAGTTGAACAGAAATTTGTGCTATTGCAGGTAAAATTGTTTTCATGTTTTTATTTTGTTCCTTCTATTTCAATGTTAAATACATACTTTTAATAATTAAAAGCCTATTTACGTCCCACTGATTAGACGCATTTCTCGCTTTATTCCTAAGAAGGGATAAAAGCAGTTTATTGCGCTACTCAAATGCGTTTTGAGCCGGTGATATGGCTCGAAAAAACCGAAAACCGATGAGAAAGAAAGGTTCACGAGTAGCTCGGTCCCGAAAAGCGGAGAGTAGACCGTTTCCCCACAAAATAGATGACATGCAGGTATGGCAGGCAAGGCAGGCAGGATGCTGGTAAGACATGCAGGAGTTCGATGGATGCAAGTGGCTCAGGGTACCGTGCTTTGAGGCGTTCGTAGGGGAGATTCTATGTTCAGCAGTGGAATTGCGAAGGGCTGTAATGAAGATGATGAATGTTGATTGCCAATAAACTGATTCGTAAGTGGATATAAACGGTAATAATTAGTTTAATTAATCGATCACCTTGTGGGATGGTCAATTCAAATAGACTCTTAGGGCATAAAAGAAACCCTTCTAAATTCTATAAAGTAGTATAATAATAATAAATATTTCCATATAAAGTAGTCCTATCTAAAGACATCTAAATGTAAACGTAATTCAAATTTAATAAATCTGCAGAGAAATGTGTTCTGGCAACGTAGACGCTTAAGGCAGCACACGACTGGCTATATTCATCGTCTAACACTAAACGTTATCGCGAACACATTTAGAAACTTCGTGATTTACAGACGAAATTATCTCTAAAGGGTTGCTATTTAAATTATCATCATTCTGACTAAAACGGCAAAAATAGATCACTTATATTTATTATAATTTAATGTCGATATTTTGCAGTTCCTTTTAGATATTTTTTTTATTCAAAAATAAAGAGCGATATTATTTTAAGCCAGTTTTAAGTGACAGATGTTTTTGAAAACAACAATGGCATGCCACGCGCCGGAGGGGCATTGTGAGCAAATTTCCGTCAATGTTGCCTGTCAACTGAAGTGATGTAGAAACTGAATTTATTTCCTTTACCAATATCTACGTTATGTTTTGTTTGAATTAGGTATATTGTAAATTTTCTTTTCTGTATTAAAAACTTTTAACTCCAAATAATAATGCTTTTAATTATAGGATTTTATTGTCATTTTTAGGTTTAATATGAAATTGCATGTTATTAATATCTGAGAAAACACTTAAGCGATTTTTTTAAAACGATAGATTTCTATGAAAATTTATCTTGAAAACCTTTTAAATTGTACTTGAATGAATGAATCCCGTTGAAATTATATAATGGTCATCGTAATTGAATGGAGCTTACCACTGGAGGCGTTTTCCGAGGCGAACAGCGGGGCGGCGTTATAATCTGAAACCAATTAAATTATACGTTTATATTTAAATTACGTAACATTTCTCCTACCGTATTTATTAACTGTTTTATCTGTATTTGAAAATTATAGGCGCGAATAATATATAAAAGAAATACGTAATTTTAACAATTGTACGAAATTGTTAAAATTACTTACTTCTTTCGGCTACGGATCTTCGACCCCGTGAGGTCGTAGTTTAGCGTAGTTTATTTGTAGGCCATACAAATAATTGTTCCGAGTTCCAAACCTGGATATCTAAACTGCCTCCATGATACAGGGGAAAATCATAGTGTGGAGGTTACGTTTTAAAAATATAAGTCAATAAAGTAAAAAAGTCAAAGTTACGTTGTGCAATTGTCATAGATAAAGTAATATCATCATCATCATCATAACAGCCGATCTCATTTCCACTGCTGAATATACACCATCCCCAAGGAATGCTACGAAGCCTGCTCCTGAGCTATCTGCATCCATCGATTTCTTGAATCTCTTATCTGGTCGTCATTTCATCTAGTGTGAAGCCGCCTTGTACTTCTCTTAACGGCTCTTCGGTTATCGATTCTTCAGGCTATATTAGTCGGCATACTGCCACTTTAGCTTACTGATTCGTTAGGCTATGTCAGTAACTCTGGTTCTATTGCGAGTATATCTTCATTTAGAAGTCTATCATGTAGAGAAACTTAGACCACAGCCATCTCCGTAGCTCGCTGTACGACCTTGAGCTACCTCATAGCGCCGGCAGTGAAGGACCTCGGTTTAGATTCATATGCCATCACTGGCAACACGCACTGGTTGTATATTAAATTTTGAGGAATACATGACCAGCAGACATGTCGTAATCTTCCGAACCAAGATTGATTCGTCAATAGTAAAGACATACCTAGCCGGAAAATTTGTCCTAGGTAAACACGCTCATCAACAACTTCGAGCGTAAAGCTCCCAATATAACCGGCATGTGACATTGCCGTTACATATGGTCTTTGTCTTGTCTATGCTCATTTTAAGAACTATCCTTTGGAAGATACGATTGAAAACAAGTCTTCCAGTGATTCTGCCATAATGACTATCCTCGGAAAATCGAGAATGGATGACGTATTTGCCATTGATGTTGATACCGTATCCTTGTCAGGCCAGTAGCTTGAAAACGTCTTCCAATGCAGCGGTGAAGAGTTTCGGGGATATAACGTCAACCTGTCTTACACCTCTCTTGTGTTGAATAGGTGTAACGTAATATAATTCTAGGTAATATTTCTTTAATTAGTAAAAGTACAAGAACATAAGATGCTATTTTACTAAGTAGTTTAAACGTTAAAATTATTATATTAACTAAACTTTACCATTGTATTTTCTACAATACGACATAATTAATAAAAAGTTAAAATTCCTGTATGCGACAACCACGGCTGCTAAGTTTGGAATTTTAATAAGTGCTTGTTTGGCGGCAAGCGACTGTTGAACGATTTCAAGGCACATTGTTCTATTTTCCGCATTCTTTGAAATTCAATATAAATGTACAGTGATTTTTTTAAATAAAATATTTTAGTATTTCAATAACAATTCCATGTATAAAATCGGTCACAGTCACACAGTAGATAATATCGTCACGAATTTACCAATTTGTTATTAATTTTGATTGGTTGAATGGGTTAGATGACTTTGATTATGGGCCATGAAACAGCGCGAAGGCCGCGGGGTAAACGACACGCGTCGTTCTTACGCAACTCTACTATGTTTCTTACTTACTCGATCACACCAGTTAAGCTTGACCTCCACATTTGCTTTGAAGGCGTGTTTCCTAGATGTCCATCCTACGGGTAATGATACAATGACATTATTTAATTAGCACTAAGCCGGGGATGTGTTGCATATTTCCTTTCTTCACTACATCTACGTGGATGTTGTAATTGGCATTCTTTTCAGTATTTGTCTGCATTGAGAACATTTCTAATGTTATTTTATTGGAAATTGTTTTCGAAGAGATCCTGCAACCAGTTTGTTATGTTTAAAAAATATTGATAATAATTAGTAACCAGTGTAGTGGCTGTGTAAGAGTATCCACTATCCTATGTCATACCGTGGGTGTTCTCAGAGGCCACTGATGAACAAACCAGGAGATGGGCGCAGCGTCTTCCTTATAACATCTACAACATAAAAACTGCGATTGCCAACCCACCTGCCAAGCGTGGCAACTGTGATAAATATCCCCCTCATGAGGCAGTCTATGGAAAGGCCGACGTTCAACAGTGGACTCTTATATTGCTGTAATGAAGCAATGATGATGATGATATTGATATGTAACTTCTACGTTTTTTTATAAAGGATAAATTTATCTCTTTAATTTAATACTCATGGTGGAACCATTTCGAAGAGAATCATGGCTGCAGCACAAATGGGTCAGCACGGCCATGTAAGGACCATGCTGTACCTAATGTTTGAAATATCTTGTGAAGTACAATTTTTGCAGTGAAACTTTTTTATCGGTGTAGTAAAGAATTTTGGTTTAAAACAAATTCACATTTTCTTGTAACGTTTTACCACCGGGGCTTCATTAATATACTATTTATTTAAGCTACTTATGTAAAATCTATACAAATAAATGAAATTTATACGTGTCTGCAATATGTACTTACTTGTTTAATATCATTACTTCTTTCAAAAGAATCAAAAGGTTTGATTTCAATATTATAGGTTAGCAGTAACAGAAATGCCTATGCCGGTAGTTGTTGGGAGCACTATGCTCGGAGTTGTTGACGAGTACGTTTATCTGGGACAAATAGTCCGACTAGGTAAGTCCAACTTCGACTGAGAGGTCAATCGACGGATTCAACTCGGCTGGGCAGCGTTCGGGAAATTACGACACATCTTCTCGTCAGGTATACCTCAATCTCTGAAAACTAAAGTGTACAACCAGTGCGTGTTGCCAGTGATGACTTACGGATCTGAGACGTGGTCCTTCACTGCTGGCCGTATGAGGACGCTCAAGGTCGCTCAGCGAGCTATGGAAAGGGCTATGCTCGGAGGTTCTCTGCGTGATAGACTCAGAAATGAGGATATCCGCAGTAAAACCAGAGTGGCCGACATAGCCCAACGGATTAGTAAGCTGAAGTGGCAATGGGCCGGCCATATAGCTCGAAGAACCGATAACCGTTGGGGAAAAAAGGTCCTCGAGTGGCAGCCTCATACCGGTAGGACATGCAGGAAGTCGATGGATGCAGGTGGCTCAGGACCGTGCTTTGTGGCATTACTTGGGGGAGGCCTATTTTCAGCAGTGGACTTGTGAAGGGCTGTAATGATGATGATGATGATGATGAAGTAACAGAAACACGACAAATCACGACAGTCGTAGGACTGCACGTGAGAAGTGAAAACTTCTTAGCTTCACAAACATAAACATATTTATATATTTACATCTTTGTGTAAGTATCTTAGCGTGACAGTCACGAGCATAGAATACTATACTGGATACATAATAGAATGGGGGAGTGGGTTGTTCATGTCAATTCACACCTATAAATGTCAACGCCATCAATCGTTTTAAATTTTCATGCCAAGCGTCGCTGCGTGCAAATTATTAAGAAAATGACAAATTGTGCAATAATTACGTGCCGAAAAAACAGCGGGAAATGGAATTTAAATAAAGGAGACATAATATCCTACAACCAGTAAGTCGAAACTATTTATATTTTGTAAATATTAGAAACAAAAACAACGAAATATTGTTTTTGACAAAACGTTAAGTCTGTCAATACAGCGAAACGGGTTTGTAGTAGTGATAGATAATACGACGTTATTGCTTGTACTCGTATGTGTGCTCCCAGCGACACCGATCCTCGTACAAAAAGTGGTTGACAGCCATTCTATTGTGTATTATATAGTATTCTATGGTCACGAGAGTTCAGTGCTTTTTCCCCATCCCAAAAGTGTCCAACGTGCCTGAAGAAGTTTTCACTTCATTAAAAACTGCAAAACTAAATGCAAGATTTTGTTAAATTTATGCCAAGAAATAATATGACAGTCTATCTTACGCAAACAAACGTTACTGACAAGTTCGTGTAAGTATTCAGATGGTTAGCCGGCTGCCATATTGTTATCTACGTCTATGGCATGCAAATGTCGACGCGTATGACACACACTGCCGCAGACACACACTGTGGCACTGACGTAATGTTACCGATGTACTTGTATCTTCAAGTTTGCACGCACACATGAGCACGCTTCGTGCGCGTGAGTTTACGGCCTCTCTAACATAATATTGTAGTCGTTCCATTGGCGACTTATAACAGATTAAAAATAAAAATAAATTTTTTAGAGTTTGTACCATGGGGAAAAATATAAATATGTTACGATTTTTTAATTGGTCAATTTAAGTGAATTCTATAGCTACAATATTTTTTTATATATTTTATAAATGAGTTGTAGAGAATAGAAATTGTAAACACACTTTTTTATAAGTTCCTTTCGGTATCATAATAGTAAAAATAGAAAAAGACAAGGTGTGGGGTGCTCAAACTGTCGACGGCGAGCTCGTCATGAGCGAGAGGGTAGTCCTACCCCGTTCGGTCGAGCCGACCTGGTAGTGCACAATCATAATATAGCTGTCATTTGTTCATAACACAGCGTAGCTCTACCACGAATAAGTACAATATACCGTTGTAGTACCTTGAGTAATAACTAGATAGTAATAGGTAGTACATAGCAGACAGTCGATCACTGGCCGTATAAATAGTTTGTGGCAATTGTATTATTTATTTAATTTTATGCCAGGTAACGAGGAATTACATGCTAGCCATCAAGGATGACACAGCTTCTGCATTTTGACTCTAAATCGGGGGTAGATGTGAATGTAAAAGGATTTACCATGAAGAAGACAGTACTCATATGTCACGCTTACTTTTATGGAAAAAATTGCAACAATAAGAAAAAAATCACTTTTAACGTCCACTCGGATAAGCATTCTTATCTAGAGGCTTCGGTCACAGATTAAATAATGTTACTTGGTATAATTTTTTCGCTTTGACCCCGCGGTCGTTTTCCATTTGGAATGTTTATTCGCTGTGGTTAAAAGTAAACATGTTTTTATAACCATTTCTTTATGCAATAATAACAGACAGATCACTGAACAACTGACAAATATTAATGCCTTGTTCCGTTACGTTTTGTAATTTAAATAGATTTATTATCAATTATTAACCGCCTACAGGCTACAGGTTAGCGGACTTGATTGCGAATCAAATCTTAGAAATTATTATTGTTGAATTATCAGTTTTGGTTGTTCATTGCAATTATTTTCCTGTCTTATACTTGATCAAGTTATTTAATAAATTCGTTTACCGTAACATTATCTACATTTAAATTATTAAGTGGTAAAGTTGTTTGTACGAGTACGTAAGTTTTTTGTAGGAAGTAATTTTTTAACTGTAGATCCGTTTCTAAAAATTATTTTACTGGCTAAATGCTATACTATTCCCCAGTGTTAAATACTCTAATATTTTATTGTAATCAAATTAGTTTCCAGAGTGAAAACTGAATATTGATTTCTTATATTTACGTAAATACTACTACACATTGAATAAAATTTAATTTAACTTATGTTCAATTCCAGACATTTCGGGTACTTTACAGCATCCATGATTACGGGAGGACTGAAGTCTTTGATGTCCCGATGTCAAAGTTAACCCGGAGTACCTATAGCATTTTAATAATTATTATATTTTTAAGTGGTGAATGGGGTCTGTTCTTGACAATTAAAATTAATTTATTTCTTAAAATCGAGTCAAAAATATGGTTTCATAAAACTACTTACAAATGAAATAGAATATGATGTCTGTTATTAGGATGCGACTAAAGAGCAATTAATCAAAGTTGAGTGCTTACTAAACTTATATGGGCTAAAAAAGTTTTAACCACGTCTCTTCCCATCGCAAACAGCTCAAGTGGCCCCCAATCCAACTTCGCAGGAATACCCGAATTCAAATGCCTCGATTCCAGTAAAAAGGGTCTCTCTTTACATTCACCATACAAAGGACAGCAACATTAAGATACTATTTTACGCTGGTATTCTGTGAGAGCGTGGTCCCGCCCCGGTCGAGCCGACCCAACTATAATATGGCTGCAGCGTGACTCTACCACGTAATTACGTTATTTGTAGATGGATTCACTTAGTCCGTCACCACATTGTGTTTTCATGCTCACGTGAAAGTAATTTTTCATTTAAATCCTATTGAATTGAACGCGTATGACAATAGGAACCAAAAATAAATATTGGATAATAATTGTATTAAACCTTAATCTCTATGATTTACACTGCGATTGAATAATTTATCTATTTATAGATAGAGAACATTATGGCTTACTGTTTAAAATACAATCACTGACATAAATACATTATACAAATAATTCAATAGCTGAATTGATTAAACGTATATTCGCTAATATATTATACTATATATAGTATGTACGTAAAGTTGTTAACT